CCCTCCCGGTGCTCCCCCCCCGTCCCGCTGTTTCCCCTTCCGCATTGTGGATTTCTACGAAATGGCCCAGACGAAGTCAAAGGTGATGGGGGGAAAGGAAGCTGAGGTGAAGAACCAGCAAGAAGATGCCAAGGAGGAGGAGGAGGAGGAGGAGGAGGAGGAGGAGGAGGCGGAAAAGGCGGGGGTGGGAGGAGGGGTTTCAGTGGCGGACGCGGGAGTCTCAGGGGGCGAGGCTTCGGCGACGGAGCGGGCAGAAGAGGAGGAGGAGGGGGAGGAGACGGATCAGGAGCGGGGGAGGAAGAGAGACATGTACAAGATCCGCTCGCTGCTGCTGCAGGTCTGCCCCAACGCTGTGTGTAAGATTAGTTCGTTTGCTGCTGTAGGTGGTGGTTTTGTCGTATTTCAGGTGCGCAGGATTGGTTCGTTGCTGCTGCTTTGTGCGCCTACTCTATCTCAACTCTACAAAAGTGCTTGGTTACTGCTGCGGGTGGTCGTTTGTGCGTTTAGTTTTCTCTCATCTTGCTGCTGTGCAAGATTGGTCGTTTGCTGCCGCAGGTGGTAATGTGTCCGTCATGTTCAACCTTAACTCGCTCCTGTTTGTGATTTGCTCGTTGCCGCTGTTGAACGCAAGACAAGATCGCGGGGCTCCGCGAATTACTCAACAAATGTACCCCCCTGCTATTCCTCCCCAGGGCCAGATCGCGGGGCTCCGTGAAAGGCTAAAAGAGCGCGAGCTAGAGGTGAAGGAGCTCAGGGTGCTCACCGGTGGTCGAGGCCAGTCCAAGCTAAGGTATCTACTGGTACTGTTTATGTAGAGTGGATGTCCCTGTTTTTGGCTGCTCATTGAAGACCGGTTACCCTGTTTTCGTAGAGTAGATGTCCCTGTTTGAGGTCGCTTAGTTAAGGCCGGTTGTCCTGTTTACGTAGGGTAGGTGTCCCTGTTTAAGGCCGCTTATTGAAGGCCGGTTGCCGTGTCTAAGTAGAGTAGGTGTCCCTGTTTAAGGCCACCTGTTTAAGGCCGGTTGCCCTGTTTAAGAAGACTAGATAAGATGTCCCTGTTTGAGGTCGCCTATTGAAGGCCGGCTGCCCTGTTTAAGTAGATTAGATGTCCCTGTTTAAGGCTACTTTTTTTTAGACCGGTTGCCTTGTTTAAAGACCGGTAAAAATCGCTCGGCACAGATGGAGTATTCACTTTGTCTCATTCAGCAGAGGTCTCTCCCTGTAAAAGGCCAGTGCAAGCTTCGGTACTGCTAGATCCAAAGGGAGATCATTGCCATTCGAAAGCAAGCTAGTTGCTGTATTGTCAGTCCAAGCTCAGGTACTACCGTATATGACACAAGATAACATACCCCCTTGACCGATTTTCGAAGCTCGATTTCTCAACTGCAGGAACAGTCACAGCGCCGAAAACGGCGGCGTGGAAACCGTCTCGTCGAGGGCTTTTCGAAAATGTATCATTTCGTTTGTGCATCCTCTTCGTCGTGGAGTAATCGAGCTTTGAAANGTATTGGTGCTGCAGCCAAACGGGAGGCCGTTGTCATTGCAAAGTAAGACTGACTGTTGTTGTTGTCACCGTATATGACACAAGATAACACACCCCCTGGACCAATTTTCAAAGCTCGATTACTCCACGACGAAGAGGATGCATTAACGAAACGATACATTTGCGAAAAGCCCTCGACGAGACGGTTTCAACGCCGCCGTTTTCGGCGCTGGGACTGTTCCGGCAGTTGAGAAATCGAGCTTCGAAAATCGGTCAAGGGGGTNGAAACCGTCTCGTCGAGGGCTTTTCGAAAATGTATCATTTCGTTTGTGCATCCTCTTCGTCGTGGAGTAATCGAGCTTTGAAAATCGGTCCAGGGGGTGTGTTTATCTTGTGTTATATACAGTATTGGTGCTGCAGCCAAACGGGAGGCCGTTGTCATTGCAAAGTAAGACTGACTGTTGTTGTTGTCACCGTATATGACACAAGATAACACACCCCCTGGACCAATTTTCAAAGCTCGATTACTCCACGACGAAGAGGATGCATTAACGAAACGATACATTTGCGAAAAGCCCTCGACGAGACGGTTTCAACGCCGCCGTTTTCGGCGCTGGGACTGTTCCGGCAGTTGAGAAATCGAGCTTCGAAAATCGGTCAAGGGGGTGTGTTATCTTGTGTCATATACGGTATTGATGTTGCTGTTGGTGTGGTTGTTGTTAAAACCTTGAGCATGCCTGATACCATGCCAAGTGTACACCGAAAGGGAGTACACGACCAAACAAAACAAGGCAGCTAGTTGCACACGTGCGGCAACAGCCGCACCGTTTGCGTGCCATCGTCACTCGTCCTCCACACTATTTCGTTGTCAGCCGTGAGCCATGTGGAGCACAACGTGTTTTATTTTTTTGTTGTTTTGTTTACTTTCCTAATGTCATCAACAGGGAGCTCGGGGCGATGCTGAAGGAGGCGAGAGGGGAGTGCGATGCCCTCAGGGCAAGAGAGAAAAACCTCGCTGAGGTAGGCATGATTTTTTTTTCTTTTCACCTGTACCTTGTTCGTGCAACCTGCACCTTTTTTCTGTTTTCCTCTGCAGCGGCATGCGTACGTGCTTGTTTAGCAACCTGTACCTTGTTTTCGGCCCTATTCATAGCCTGCATTTTTAGGCATATGCACCTTTTTTCTAACAACTTATAGCTTTCTTGGTTCTCCTGCAGCCTCTTGCCGAGACATGCAGAAGTACTTTTTTTTTTGCAACCTGTGCGTTCGTGTTTTTTGCTGCTCTGCAGCTTGTTGCCGAGGTAGGTATACGCACTTTTTTTTTGTTTCATTTGCATGCATCCTGCACCTTTTTTTTGCAACCTGTCCTTCTTTTGTTGCTGTTCCTCTGCAGCCTGTTGCGGACGCATCTATGCGTCCTTTTTTTTGCACAATGTACCATTTTTTTGTTCCACTGCAGCCTGTTGCCGAAGCATACTTGCGTCCTTTCTCTTGCAACCTGTACCCTTTTTTGTTGCTCCTCTGCAGCCTGTTGCCGAGGTAGGCGTACACACCTTTTTTTGTTTGATTTCCTTGCATCCTGCACCTTTTTATTGCAGCCTGTTCATTTTTTTTGTCTCCTCAGCAGCTTGTTGCTGGGATAGGCATGTGCACCTTTATTTTAGCATCCTGTGCGTTTTTTTTTTCTTCTCTGCGGCCTGCTGGCGAGGTAGGCATGTGTACCTTCATGTGTTTCCTTTGCATCCTGTACCCTTTTTTGTTGCTCCTCTGCAGCCTGTGACCTGTAGTGATGTCACACAGAGTCAAGGACCTCGGAGATAAGAGCTTCACACTTTACAAATATAAGTTACTCTTTCCCCCTCTAAATCCTTGGGGTAATAACCGAAATGGTGTATAACTCGAAAAACACCGTAGACATCCATAAGAACAGGTGTTTTGTCCATAATCCTACGGTACGGTACAACCTAAATATGGAATTAAGAGAAACCTCGTGCACATACGTGCGTGTCTTTTTTGATAGCATCGGCCGCGCTGATCGGCTGACCAATGAAACGACGTCAGTCTCCAGTGCGACCGCGCAATGTGTGTGTTTGTCCCTTCTATTCTTGCACCGGTTTTCAGGCCTTTCGGGGTACATTTCCGCCTGACGTATCAGCCGGGGTCGGACAAGAGCACGCTCAGTTTTTTTTTTGTTTATCATTGTTATAAGGGTTTCGTTTGAACTCAAAGACACCGCAGGGAGGTGCGAAATCTCCAACGCTGTATCCACAGGTCGTTCCACACAGACAAGGTCACGGATATGGGGCGGTGTATACGATCACCGGACAGACTGTGATGCTCGGTCAAGAGGCAGAGTCTCGAGACGAGATGGGGTTAATAGTGAAGAGTGAGAGGTGTGCGAGGGCACGCCCAGGCCTCGCGTCCTTCTCGGACAAAAGTCGCGGTCAACGATCCGAGGAAGCCTCGTGGAAGGCGATTTAGGCTCCCCTCGTAACATTGCACGCTTCCTCGTGGCTCGGAGCGTTGGCGACATCGACATCGCTCCGAGAGACGAATCTCTCCGAGGAGAATGTGGGGAACGTTCTCCAAGGTTGTAGGATTTGTGGTGATAGACGTAGTAGCTTGGGTGCGTAGAGTTGTGACCCACAATTATTTGTTTTTTGATGCTTCCCCCTGCGGCGCTTGCCTTGGTTTTTGTCGCGAGAAGTGTTTAGCGCCACTTCGGATAGCTAGTGGTGCTACTGTATTCCTTCGAGGGAGCAGCATCTTGCCACTCTTGAGGTCCTTGAGTTCATCTGTTTTTGCCCTGAATTTCCACGTAACGCCAAGGTTCTCGAGTGAGTGGCGCGTTCGTTTCGTGCAGTGGTAGTTTAGAATTCGTGCCGTGGACTGTACGGCCAACACTGCTGCTGCTGCTGCTGCTGCTGCTGCTGCTGCTGCTACTGTTGTGTGTTTTCAACGTGTTACATTCCAGGAACTAGCCATGGCCCAGAAGGAGGGGGACAGCCTGAGGGGCGACCTGCTGGCCAATCAGAAGGCCCTCTCCGACCTCAACGTGTACGCCGACAGCCTGCGCTCCAGGTATCAGTTTCATCTACGAAATCTACGAAGTCTGTGAAATTTACAATACCCACCAAGTGTACGAAATCTACGAAATGAATGCAACCTAAGATATCTAGCCCTAGTTACGTCGAAATTATGTAATGTACGAAACGACCAAGTCCACGAAATGGTACGACGGTGTGGTGCCTCGATTTGCTTCTTTGTTTCTTTTGTTTCGCATGCAGGTGAGAGGCGGAGGGATGGCAGAGCGACTTTCAAAGCTCGATTCCTCCACAACCAAGATTGTCTATACCGTACCGTATACCGTACCGTGGTGTTCTGTGAGAGGTGGAGAGATGGCACCCGCTTAGAGCAACTTTCAAAGCTCGATTCCTCCAACCAAGATTGTCTGTACCGTACCGTATACCAAACCGTGGTGTTCTGTGAGAGGCGGAGAGATGGCACCCGCTTAGAGCAACTTTCAAAGCTCGATTCCCACAACCAAGCTTGTGCCGGCACCGAAAGTGGTGGAATGGGAAACCCCAACCCACTGGACGTTGTGCCTCACCGTCTTTTTTTTTTTGCGGCCAGGTACACAGACGAGATGGTGAAGCTCGAGGCCAGCCTTGCCGAGATGGAGCGGGAGCTGACGAGGGCGGAGGCGGCGCACATGCGGGAGCGAAGGGAGCTGCTTGACCGGGAAGCCGCGGCGGCGGCGGACCGGGAGCGGTACCGCAGCCGAACCATCTTGCTGCAGGGGGAGGTGCGTGAGAGCCTGCTGCTGTGTGTGATGTAAACGTCAAAATGAAACCATTAGACTAGTGACCGGCTACTGTAGACGCGGAAATCAAACCATTAGACTTCAGTCAGCGGCTGATTAGACTAGCCAGCCGTTGACTGAAGCCTAATGGTTTGATTTCGGCTTCTACGGTGACGGCGACCTGCCACCACCTCAAACCGCGGTCCCTCTTCGTCGTGGAGAAACCGAGCATTGAGCAGTTGCACCATCCTGCTGCAGGCGGTAGCCTTCGCAGTTTTCTCTTGTTTTGCGAACACGTCCGACAAAGCATGCAATCGGCGAAGCTGGGTTTGGGGTAGGGTTAGGTAATAGGTTCTGCGCACCCCCCTCCCTGCTCTATTTCACCCCATCCCCCCTCCATCTTGTATTTCTTCATCCCCCCTCTCCGTTCCGGTGAGAACCCGGCGTGCTCCGTCCCGGCTTTGTAGGGATGCGAGGTCAATGGTCTAACGACTACGGCATGCACGACTATGAGTACCCCCCCCCCCC